AAGGAAAGCGTTTCGCGCGTTTACCGTAAAATTACAGAAAAGGGGAGGTTTCGATTACTTCTGCGCAGATGACAGTCGATCCGCGCGATTAAAAACGTCGTCTCTAACTTTTAAAGCGATGAGATATCGACTGGCGTCACCCGTGACAAAGCGTTTCGCCTCTCCCGTCCGGCGTCCACTTTCCGACTAATTCGCTAAACACTTCGATTTTCTTCCTCCTTTCTAATTGCGCAGCGCCGACGACAAGTTCGTCCGACTTACGAAGAAGGTGGGTGGCCAGGGTCCACCGACGCCAAAACTGCCCGTTAAAGGCAAGATGCTCCGAGAAAAGTAGCCTTTTCCCCGATGTTTCCATCTTTAACCCGCGCCCACCCTCTCTTTCTCGACCGTCCCTTTCTCCATCCCGCCGCTTTTCCTCTTCCTCCTACCCCTCCGCCCGGAAGCTACCGGACGGCCGTCAATTTCGCGCTTTTATTAGTTACTACCCGGTTGGGCGGCACCCACCCGGGTGTCCGAGTTACTTTACTCCGGGACGTGTCCGGTCGGAGAGGCCTCGTCTCCTAAATCCCGACTTATTAATTACGGAAAATACCAGCCCAGGGGATTATCCTTTCCTCTCCACGCGAGGCGCTTTCTCTCTCCCCCGTCGTTTTCCGTCGGGGTCGGGAATTTCCCCGAAATAACGGCCAGTAAGTCGACGGTAAAGCGGCCCACCCTTCTTGGCGGTGTGACGGGGGAACCTGCGTTTCTCAGCTGAAGATGCGCGGGATCCAACTTGGGGGCCGTCGTCCAATTCTTTTATCTTCCTCGGTCGTACCAACCCGACTTTAAATTTACTCCACCCTTTCTATTATCCCCGGCTGCTGCCAGACCTAACTCGGGGAAAGGGACCACCATCGTTACCCCCTCATTTTTGCGTTTTTCGGATTCGGAAGATCTCGAAACGTCGTGAAGCGCGAAAAGTTGGGAGGTTTTTCTGCGCGTGCGGATGTCTGTCCGGGACGCGATTTCGCTCACCCACTTTCCGGTTTAATAAGTACGACTGCCTTCTCTTAACGGGACTCGTGCACCGCTGGCAAAAACCGGAGATTTTATTATTGTTTTGGATTAAAGAAGGTTTATTTAAAGACGGGGGTGACGCGTGTTGTCTCCGGTGGAGTGGTACTCGACGATTTTATTCGTCTCTCTATAAAACCGGTCTTCGTCCTGGAAATTAAGCCTTTGTAGTTTTGTAATAATTAATAACAAAGAGTTTTTAAAATAAAATGCCGTAAGAGATGGCGCCACGCGCAATCTTAGCGTTGTCGGCCGGGAAAGTTAGGCAACTGGCTGTCCGATGTTTCTCATCTCCTACGGATTTGTTTCGAGACGGGGCGGAGGACGGAAAGCGATTTCCGTCGGCGTAGATTACTTGGCGCCGTCCGCCGGAGAGGGAGACAAATTCCGCACCCGGAAAAGGGGAATGGAAAAACCCGCGCGCTCTGGGTGTCCGCTTTCTCGGTATTTTCGTTTAAAGAAAAGAACGCGTCCGATGCAATTTCGTCAGAAAATTCCGCGCCGCGGTCTCGGGCCGACTCCCCGGTTATTACGAATGTAAACGGAACGAAATCGAATCGGAGCGGGAAAAGAAACAGGAATAAAATTACGGTAACGACGTTTCCTTTCTTCCTTCAGTTTTGCCGTCGACGAAATTTGTCTAAAAATAACTCGGAAGCCAACCGTCGCTCCCGTCGGATCCGACCGGCGCGTAAATACGCGGAGGGGTAATTGCGTAAGGCGGCGGTTGCCTCCTAAATTACGTTTATTCTGTAATAAGAAGGGAAAGGAGCGCCGTGGACGAACGTTATATCGAGTTATAGCGGGCTTTAAAAGGGCCGGACCGAGGTCTACGATTAATCGAGCGTTTATCGACCGCACAAAACTCGTCTTTGTTTCCGACGGTTATTAATTCCGGCCGCCGGTGAATGATGCTCTGTGTTTTCCTCTCGGCTCTACTTCCTTATTCGGTAGGGACTCCGTTAATTCCTTCTTTGGTTTTCTATTCTCGGACACAAAACTTGCGCACGTATGCCCGTGTCTATTTGTATATATATATGAACGTGCCTGTAGCCACCGTTCCGTCCTCTCCATTTTGCATTTTCGCTCCGAAGTTTAAAAGCCGCCGTTTTAAATAGTAATTGTGCGAAAATTCGACCGGGGTAAGTGTTTCCTCCTTCGCTCTCGTCTCGTCGAAACCTTTCTTTCTGCCTCGCGTGCCTTAATTTTCTGTGGCCGAACCGGCTACGTAATCGGTGGCCCTTCCGGACAGACCACGCCGCAACCCTTCGTCCGCCACCCACGGCCGCGTTCCCATTCCCCCGGCGGTTTCGTCCGTCGGACCGTCGCGTGCCTAAGTCCGCGGCGCGGCGCGTGCACGTTTAGCCTAAGTCCGCGACGTTAACTGGACGACGGCGGGGGCGGCCGATAGCCTGATGCTAAGAGAATTACTTCCGATCGGAAGTAAAAGTGGTATTTTAGAAGACGGAGCTGGGTCCACCACTAGAAGCGCCCGGCTCTTTCCTCTCTCGCGCTTTCTTTTTACCCACCGCTTACGGAATCAACGCTTTCTACGTCGTCCGCCATTGATACTTCTCGATCTTTACCTTTTCTCCGCCTTCTTGGGAAGAGCCCAGAAAGACATTTTACTCTCCAAATTACGCCTGGGTAAATATTAACGGACGTACCGTACCTCACCCGGCGCCAAAATATTACGCGCCGCGACCCGGTTCTATCTCTAACCTTACTCGTTACGTCCGGTGTGGGCGCGGGTGACAACCCCAGGAAGACAAATTTCCAGAGGAAAGTTTTTCCGCGCGAAAAACGAAATCGCTGGCTGGGGCCGCGACTATCTGGCATTTTTTTTCTGGTAAAATCGGGCCCCCGTCGTCGCCCGCTGGCTTCGAAAATTGCCACCTTCCTCCCCTCCCACCTACCAATTAACGGAGCTTTTAAACTCGGTCGAGATTTACTCCAATACCGCCAAAGTCGTTACCTTCTTTCCGTTGCGGTAAAGGACGAATAGTGACTTTGGTCACCCTGGTAGTCGGCCCGCTTTCCCACAGATTAGAACGTTATTCCTCCCCGGCCGAAAAATATTCTCCTTTCGAGCCCGCGCTTCCGCTTAAAACACGCGCCAGTTATCTTCCGGAAGCGGGTGACGGCGGATACTCGAAGAACTTTCGTCTTTTCTGTCCTCCGGGACGGATTAAGAGCCGACCGGTGCCAGTATCGATTTTGCGGTCGTTCCAATTTAATTGATTACGTCATGCGCGGGACACGTTCTTGTCACGATATTGCTTGTCTATTCTTAGAAGTTGATGGATAGCTTTATGGGTTTTTCGACGCGATCCCCGTCCACTTTACTCTATTTTTCGTCCCCTTTTTCCCTCGTACGTCGTCGGGTTAAGGGTTAATTAAAACTAATCCTCCGACCGCGGCTCTGGGCAAAAGTAAAACTTCCGGATGCCGGGTGGCGAGTAAATATATGGCCCGTCAAAATTACGGAATTTTGGTGTTTTTATTCTTTATCGCTTCGACAGATGGCGCCGGGGATAAGAGGCGGCAAGTTTGAAAATATAATTTCCCTCCCGTCCGGAAGGGTAGAGAGATTCGGCCGACGTTTTCGCCCGTCGCTCCCTCGATACCTCGTGCTATTTTAAACTAGAATTGGAGGTAAAAAGTTTGTTCGCGCCACAAATGCGAGAAAAAATAAAAACGGAGCGATTCATAAAGGCCGTGCTAGACGGATTGATATAAATAGTTGGCAGATGCTTGGAAGATTGTCGAGTGGAAAGCTTAGCAGATATTCCGTCTCGAACAATCTGGCTCTTCTATATTTGTTTGGTAGACTTGGGTTACCGTGTGCAAGCGCGCGAGTGACTCATCCGGCACCTCCCACACCCGGCCGTTCGACGACCATTATCTCCTCTACCTCCGCCAAATCGCCGACGTCGACTTTTTCCCGGCATTCGTAACTATAAGCCGATACTCCCCCCCCCGGTCCGCATCCGCCACCGCTTCGAAAATAACCCACGTGGGGAACGGCAAATTAAAGAAATCGATCCGCGCTGACACTTCCGTCCCTTTCGCGCCCCCTTTAGTGCGGACGAAGCGTTAATTCGTCCCGAATTTAAATGGGGAGCGAAAGCGGTGTGGGTAGGAAATCTTCGGAGTTTGTCACAATCAAAAGTTTTCCAACAGAAGGATAAAGAAATTGGCGGACAGGCGGGGGAGATTAGATCCTACACCAGACGATAGATGGCGCTGACGAAAAGTGTGAAAAGCGTAAGCGGTGCCAGTAAAACGGTCCGACGCAATCGAACGATGGATCCGCTTTATAAATGTCCGTTGATCGATTTTATTCGCTACCCGGTACGGTGCCCTCCCCACTCCGCCATACTTTGATCGCGGCGATCGATACCTTTCTACAGAAATCGAAATCCCCCTCCGACCGGTTAGATATTTAATCGGGACAATAAGGACTGTTTAGATCGACAGACTTTAATTAAATTTATATTAATTCCGTACGCGCATAAATGTTTATTAAAATTAAAGACCGCGGCTAACTACCGGATAATTATCTTGACGGTACAAACTCTTCCCCCTTAAACGTCGACTTTTTTACCCTTCTTTATCCGGTCGACGGTGTTCGCCTCACCCACTCGCTTCGATTAACCGTAATTGTTTATTATTACCTCGGTCTGATGCGCAATTTATTTGTCCGATTTTCCCCTGGGTGGGCGCGGAACGGAAAGTTGACGGAAGACAAAAGAAGGTTCGTTATTTTTAAGTCTGGAAAGTGTTGGGCGAAAGAAAGGAACGGACTCGGCCCGGCTGCAAATTACGGCTCGTAGGTGGGACGAAAAATGGACTACCTGTTTGGTTGGGGCGGCGGGTCCATTCTATAAATTACCCCCGGCTCCACCTGGACTCTACCGTGCAAAATTAGACCGAGGTAAATACGCCGAGCGGATATCGTGACTTTTCCTCCGTTGACGCCGTTTAAGTGGCTTCGTTAAGTCGTTCCTCTCCCTGGTGTCGGACGCGCCTCCCCCTCGCCAATTTACAGCTTTCGACTGTTAATTAATTACGGCCGCGGAAGGAAATATTTTGTCGTCGAATTACGACTAGGGGACCCGGGTAACAAAAGCGTCTTTCGCCGTCGGAGGGAAGAAAAATTCTAACTTCGGACGTAACGCAACACCCGGCCGCGCGGAATGCGCCGATGCAAATCTGCACACTCGTCGAATTTCGATGCGCCGTTCGAGCGTGCCGTAGAAAGTGCCCGCCACGCTTGGGCTCGTCGCCGCTTTTCCTTTTTATTGCGGGCAAAAAACATTTACACCTTTATTAAACGACGGAGGAGTCTCTCTCTCTCTCTCTCTCGCCAGAGGGCGCTTCCTCCCGAAAGTCCCCTCCACCCAGACGGGAGGAAAGAAAATTCGGCCCGGGTTTTAAATTCCGGCGCGTAAAGAGGCCGAGGTCGCCCGGCTGGAAATGGCCGGTCGGGCGCGTTTTGACCCCTTCCGTAAAGGGCCCGGTCCCTTCTGTGGGAAAGCCGCGCGTAAAGTACGGGAGAAAGTTTCTGGCCGGAAGGTCGAGACGGTCGCCGCGCGCACCTAGGATGGGAGGAGGAAGTGACGTGACGAGGCAACCGGAAGTGGCCGCGCCGCGTGGCGCCGCGCGCGGCGTGGGACGGCGGTAGAAAGGGCTCACCTCTGCGGGTCCTGGAGCGCGGCCGAGGAGAGAGTCGGAGGCCGAAACCGGACGGGACGCCGGACCCCCGTTTGTAAGTTTCCCGCGGCCGGGGCCAGACGGCATCGCGCGGAGGCGTGACCGGTCCGGGTCCGACCGACTACGTCACAGAAGAGGCGCCGGGAGCGCCTGCGCGGTGGGGACGTCCAATGGGAGCGGCGCGGGCGGCTGCCAATCGCGGCGCCGTGCCTTTTGGCCCGACGTGTTCGTCGTACCTACTCACAATGGTCCAATAGTCTTAGGCTGCAGTTTTAGTGTTATTCGGAAGCCACGTGCAGGGCTCTTACGTCGCCGTTCCCTAGTCGTAGTTGGTAGTGACTAAGTCGTATTTTGTAGTATTACTATGGAACCGGAGAACCAACAGAATAGCATCCCGAGTCCGAACGATATCTCGCACGATCCCGGGTAGGTTGACGCCGTGGTGCGGTCGGTGCGCGTCGTGCGCCGACGCCGCGTGTGGAAGGAGAAGGCTAACGTTTGTATCCGCTTGTCTCTTGCAGGAAGATGTTCGTAGGAGGTCTCAGTTGGCAGACCGCACCAGGTGAGTGGCCTCGTTTTAATTATCGGCGGCAGCGCGACCCATCCGGGTTACCGGTATCGCCCGCGGGTGTCGGTCGTCGGACGAACGGGTAAGGCCAGCCAAACCCAGTTTCCATTGTCTTCTCTTGCAGAGGGCCTCAGAGACTACTTTAGCAAATTCGGCGACATCACGGAAGTCATGGTGATGAAGGACCCCACCACCAGACGATCAAGGTAGGTGGACGGGCGGCGGCGGCCAGCCGGGGCTGCACACGAGTCGGCCGGGTAGGCATCGATCCCTCCGTCCGCCAACTTCCGCACGCCAAGGAATCGACTCTCTCTCTCCCGTCGGCATCTCCGCCCCCTCCCCCGCTTCCTCCCTCCCTACCTCCTTCCCCTTCGCCTCGTCTCGGGTTTAAGAGCCAACGACGTTTCCTCGGGCTCGTAGTCCGTGCCCGGCCGCCTCCGCGTAGTCCCGGCTTTGCAGCGTACGGCCCGCTCGCAAACGCAGAGGCGGGTCATGTTTACCTACGCTTCGCTCTATCCTTGCAGGGGATTCGGATTCGTCACCTTCGCCGAACCTTCTAGCGTAGACAAGGTCTTGGCCAACGGACCGCACGAGCTGGACGGAAAGAAGGTAAGACCGTCCTCTCTACACCTTTACCTTTCGTCTCGGCCCGCCGCGCGACCCGCGACGCGCCGGTGCTCGCGTCGCCGCCTTTTGTTTTTCCTGCTGATTCTCTTTCTTTCTTTCACGCAGATCGATCCGAAAGTGGCTTTTCCGAAGCGGGCACACCCAAAGGTAAGGTCGACTCTCGTCGTCGGGGGCGGGGCGCGGCTCTCTCCCCGCGCCGTTCGGCGACGGCCGGCTCCGCGCCGCGCCTCGGTCTCCGTTGCCGCGGCCGTCGGCGGTCCCGTCTCCCGGTCTCCGGCGCCCGTCCTCGCTCAGTTCCCGTTCCTTTCCGTTATTCCGGCGGAAGTCCTTCCACCACGGCCTCCGTCCGGGGAAGCGCGGTGCGGCGCCGAGTTCCCGTCGGGCTTTCGCCACGCGCGCAACGGAAGTCGGTTCGTCTTCCGGTGGGCCCGGGGACGGGATAGGAACGGAGGGACTGCGGGAGGGGGAGAGGAGCGCCGTCGCCGTCCAGAGAAAGACCCGGACGGGTGGGGCAGAAGGAAGTCCGACCAAGGTCGAAAGCGGGGACGTCCGTGGACGGAACAAAGGATTTTCCGCAGGATCTGGTCACCTTTCGTCTTTTCGTCGCTTCGACCCCATCTCGTCATCGATTCGGGGTGGGTCTCGGCCGCGATCGCTTTCCCGTCTTCGTATGCGGACGCGCGCATCTCACCTTTCTCTTTTCTGTTTTTCTCGTCGATTTGGACAAAAGGACTAGGACAGGCGGCTCCTTTCATCCACGTTACCGTCCCGTCCACAGTTCCACGTGGATGTCCGGAGGGCTAGGGTTCTTTCTCTCGTCCGGTGGACCGGGCCGAAGTTTCCCGGTGCAGTGGGTTAAATTCCGCCAACCGAAAGGGTCGAATTTCGTCCGGCGACGGAGTAACCACGTCAGAAACGAACGGAGGCGGGTTGTCGATGGCCGATCCGTCAGTCGTTCGACCCCGCGTGGACGTTTCCGTCCACTTCCACTCACCCCCGCGCGTGGGTTTTGGGATCCCGATTCAGGGGTTTAGCGGTTTCCCAACGACGACTCGGCTCGGTCACGATTACCCGGGCGGCGGAGGAACGTCAATTTCGCTTTCTCTCGTCCCGCGACGGGATCGGTCGGAAGAATTCCATGGCGTCCGAGAGCGACGAAATTCGTTTTCGTCCGGCCTGGGGCCCGAACTCGGACTCTCTCTCCGCCGACTTCCGGGCTTTCCTTCGCCAAGAATTTCGGCTTTTCGTCGGACTGGACGGACAAAAGATGCGGGGGGAAAGGAAGGATCGGAGCCGTAAGCGGAGGAAGGATCGGGCCGGAAACCGAAAGTTTCCGGCCCGATCCTTCCTCCGCTTACGTCTATTTCCGCGTCGAACCTAACGGCAATAGACCCGTCTACCGCCACAAAAGTCTACTTATTATTGGGGCCGAAAAGCAAATTCGGTGTAACCGGCGTTCCTTAATAATTCGCTTGTTTCCTTTGTTTCGGTAATAGCCCGAGCGTTAACGGCACTGTCGGAGAAAGTTTCCCCCAGCGAAAGGCCCACCTCCGTTAGCGGCGACGGATCGACTGCGTATTTTTACCCGACGATTATGCTGCGGGTTCTAATCGTATTGTTGTACGAATTTGTCAGACGCAATTTCGGTCAACTTTGTTAAGTAACCATCTGGCTCAGGACTTGGGGAAAGAGTCCCACCGAATGCGGCTATATTTTGTCGGTTTCTCTTTTAATCCGAAGTTTAGACTATAAAGAATGGGACCGTCCCCGACACTTTGTTATCCCGTCCCTTTATTTACGGGCGGTGGCCGAGCGTCTAGGCCTGGTTCGGTCAGAAAAACCATTTTTTTGGCCAAACCTCGGCCGCCTTTAAAATAGGCCCTTTTGGAGCGGAATTTAGCGCTTTTCTCGCCTACCCAGGACGTGGGGGAGGCGGTCGAGCGGGTGCCGAGTCTAAATAATAGTTTACGCCGAGAAACAATTTCCGTTGTGCCAAATAGGCGAAATTGCTGCCGGGCCGAGAAAAAGCCCTTAAGTTTTAAAATAAAAAGCCCGAAATTCCGCCGACGTGTTTGGTGTAGACCCTTTTCCGTTCCTCGCACTCTTAACTGCGTCCCCGGAGAAGGGAAAGCCCGTCATACCGGGTTACTTCCGCCTTCTTTTCGACCCGGGAGGGGAGTCGACGGGGCTTTAAATTCCGTCCGGATAGTCGGTTACGTCACAGCCGTCTTTTGTTTACGTTTGAGAGGCTTCTTTACGCCTCCGTCGGCGGCCGGGCTTTTTATCGATCGCCGCAATTACCGAGCGGCGGTAAGAGGCGCCGGCCCATTAATTATCCGGCGTCCGAACCGACTCGGTCGACGGAATTCCCCCGTCGGCCCAAAAGGCGGGAGGAACGGACCGTTTGGACGAAAAATTCACATTGGTCCATCGGCACTCGGCTCGGACCCTTCGTCCCGACGCAAAACCGCCGACCGTTTCCGGTCGTAAGAGGAATTTTTTCGTTTACACCAGCGGAAACGACCCGTACCCCGGCATCCTGTTTCGTCCGCTCGTCCCGCTCGAATTATCTCGACCCCGAGCCACCGGTTTACACAATGGATAACGACCGCCAGGGGAACCGGGGGGTGAACGCGGGCGGAGCCGTCGGGGAACGTAAAGGGCCCGTCGGAGCGCAGAACGTAGTCGGGAGGTCTTTTTACTCTCTCGGTTAGAGAAAGGGCCTGGCCCTTTCTCCGGTCGAATCCGTCGGTCCCCCTTTTACGGCGGGCACCTCCCCTCACGGACCCGGGCGAATTTCTCCCCAGTCGGCCCTCCCGGGAATGCCGAGGAGGAATTAAAACTGGCTGCGGTAGGGAAGAAGGCCCGGGTGCGAATCCCGCCACCTGGACGTTACGGATCGTTCGCCCACACCTGTCTCTTTCCCCGTTTCGCGCCTCCGTAATTACCACCGCCGCGCAAAAAACTCGCTTTTCTTCCGAGCCGTCGCGACGGGCGTCTTTTTTTACCTCTCCCTTTTCCGTCCCTTACCGTTTCCAAGGCCACGCTTCCTCGTCCACCCCCGCCGTCGGGCCGCGGACGGAATATTCCCACTCGGCTTTTCTTAACCGGAAGACAGAGGTGTTAATCCGGCCAATTCCGGCCGCTAGTCTTCCGGTCCGATGGGAAGAAGGGGCGAGTGGGACCGGGGAGCGAGAAATGGGGAAAGAACGGGTTTTACCGGGTGGCCTTTGGGTTTCGACTTTCTTTTCGTCTGGCCGAACTGGTTTAAACGGAAAGAAAAAAACGGAGGCGGAACTTTGGCCGTTTGTTTAAAAAGTGTCGGGGGCGGTCGATATCTTCGATCGCTTACGTCGAAATCCAGAAACCGTTCGTCCTCTTTCCTCTCCGTTCCGTCTTTACGTTTCTACTCCATTAACCGCGCTTTCTTTCTCTCGTCCGACAAAATCCTCCCGCCGGACTAGCGGGTCCTTCTCCACCTTTAACTAACCCCTTCCTCCCCATCGAAGACGGAATTTTCATCCGGAAAAGCGGGAATTGAAATCTTCCTTCCTTCCCTGGGTGGGAAAATGGCGGGACGGTCTGCCACCTGCCTTCTGCCAGAAACTACATTTGCCCGAGGACGACTTTTAATTTTTCTTCCGTTCTGCACGTCGGATTACCGCCTTTTTTGTCGGGGTTACGGAGGAGCGCCCCCGCCTTTCTGCCTTTAATTGGCGGGAGTTTTTTCGGGAGGAAAAGGAAAAATCGAAAATAAGTTTAATTAATCCGCTATAATTAGTCGAGACTTTGGCTTTCCTCGGGGGAATTCTTTTCTTTTCTAAATCGCTCGATAAAATATTTTCCGATTTACCAGGATAAAATTTAGTCAATAAGCGGATTAGATACGACCCTGGTCTTTCTTATTTCCCTCTCCGACGGGGCCGCTACTTCGCCCCTTTCTTTCGAAGGGCCCCGTCATCGCCTGGAAATGCCCGCAATTAAGACTTTTCCCTAAACGGATACGTCGGGGAGCAAAAAGTCCGCCGTCGGCGCATTTTTCCCTATTTCGGACGAGTGACCGCTGCCGACTCTCCTCTTTCCCACTTAACACAGGAATATTGTTTGGGCGGAAAGTCGTCGGACTCTCTCCTCCGTTGTTGGCGCTGACCGAATCCACCGCTTTCGAAAAATAAACCAAAGTATTTCTCAGTGTCGGTCGGCCACCGACCGGAGGATCGATCCGTTCCGATTATAACCGGGAGAAAAATCGCGCGAAATCTTAAGTGCCGTTTTCGTCGTCTTCCGCTTCCCGTCGTTTTTCCGGGTGGCTCCAGTCTGGGAAAAATTCGGAAGGGAGAAGGGATTTCTTCCGGGTGGACGGACTGCGGACGACCGACTTCCCACCTCCCCTTTGGCGGAGTGGGTCTCTTCCCGAGTTGTACTCGGTGGAATAACCGGAAGCCAGACCGACGCGTCCTTCCTCCGCTCGTCACTTTCGGCTTCTTCCTCTTCCCGGACGTAATCCTCACGTTAACGGTCGTCTTTTGTACGGGAATGCCGAAAGCCTCCATCTCGGTCTCCATCTTTTTTTGCCATTGTGTAAAACCCGAAAGGTTGGTCCTATTCTTCTTCTCTGTCCGACCACGACCCTCGGCCAGAGTTTACGGACCGCCGCTCCTCCCCGCCCACACCGCGCCGCGACGCTTCGTTACCGGTTGCTTCGGTGGCGCGTGACGGGTTCTTTTTTTCGCCGGAGTCCTCTTTTGGGTTGGCCATTCGAATGGGAGGCGGAGACGATCGCCCCCTTCGCACCTCCCTCCGGCCCGGGAAGGGCCGAGGCGCCCTTTACCGGAGCCGGGGAGAAGCCACTTTTCGCACCGCCGCCTTTCCTCGCCTCTACCTTCCCTCTCGCCCTTCCTCTTCTCGCTTTTTCCTTTAGACGCGTCGTCTGCCGGTGCTTCCGAGCGTATCTCTCGCGCGCCTCCCTTCCGCTCGTTAACTCGACGCTTCTTTTCGTTCCGCGATGGGGTCGTCGACCCGCTTCGCCCTTCGCCTTTCTTGGAAATTTTTCTTCCCTCGGACGCCCGAAACCAACGCGTCACTAAAGTTCTCTCGGCCGGGGAAGCGGCGGGAATCCACCGGCCTCGTCCCGTTGTCTTCCCAACGGAGCCGCGCGCCGTCGCGGCCGACGGCCTTTCTCCGCGGCGCTCCGTGTTTCCGTTCCCCGGACGAAGCCGAGTTTCCCGGAGTTCGTCGGTCCCCGTCCCCCGAAGAACGGGGATCCGAAGTGTCGCGGCTTCTCCCCGCCAAACGGGTCGATGGTTCTTTTCCGACCGGAAGCGGAAGCGCCTCGAGTTTCGTCACGCGCCCGCGGGAAGAACGTAGAGAGACGAGAAGAGTTCTTCCGACGGTCGACCGAAGGACAGGCGTCCGACGCGTTCCGTCGGTCCGGTAAGTCCCGGAAGACGTAAGGATCCGGCGGAAACGGAAGGAGAAGAGGGCGAAGAAGGACGGAGGTCGCCGGTCGAGAGTCGTCTCGGAGAGCCTCCGAGTTCTCCTTGGAGAGGATATTTCTGCCGCGGACGGAGAGGACAACGGGAAGGTCCACAGGGTCCCGGCGACCGGAAGGGGATTTCAGCAGTTAAGAGAAGAGGGGAGGGCCGTTCTTCTCGTCTCTTTTCGGTGCGAGAAATGCCGTTCGCCTTCCGTCTCTTCCCGACGGATTATGTAGCGCCATTTAGTTACGGGACTCCTCCACTCCTGTACTGTACTCGTCTTCCTTCCCTTCTCTTTACTTTGTGTAGGACGGGAGGACGGGGCGAAAGAAGCGCCCCTCCGGTTAAACGGGAGGAAAACGCGACCTAGCCTGGGTTTGTGGGCTGGAACGCCATTCCCCCACCTCTCCCTTTTTTCTTCCGTCTTTTCTCCGCCTTTGTCGGAGGGACTATCCCGCCGGGGCGCTTCTTCTTGGGGATTTTCTCCGAAACTTCTCCGGACGTATTGTTAAGGGAAATTTCCCGTTTTTTCCCCATCTGGCAGAAAAGTTCGAAAGGGTCTGGTGTTGAGTGAATCCGTCTTTTGTTTCGTCATACGCCAGCCAACGAGCTTCGACGCCTGCCTTTCGACTGCCATCGATCCGGATTGGTAGCGGCTTTTTTCCGTCGGGAGGGTCGGGCTTTGGCTCCGGAGCCCGACCGCTTAATTCGGCGGAAGGCGGCGCATCCTTTGTTTCTTTGCCACGTTGGGTGGGAAGGAAAGGAACCGGTCACCTAGAAGGGGGCCCCGCGCTTTGGCCTAAGTTTCCGGGAAGGAAGGAATTTTTCTACACGCGCTTGGAGGGGCGGCGATTAGAAATTCCGTGTTTCTCGGCGCCGGAGAAGAGAGGAAGAAACCGCCGCGTCGTTAGCCGGGGGGCGCCACCGGGGTAGAGGTTCGGCCTTGGTCCAAACGGGAAATATCCCTTTAATTCGACCGGTTTTACAAAGCCTTTTCCTTTTTCCCTGCCCGACGTCCGAAATTGCCACGTTTCCCGGAACTCTATCTTGGACTCGCAAAGTTTCCGACGTCCGTAATTTAGCGGAGAAGAGGGGTCGAAACGCGAATTACAAACGGTTAGGACGCGCGAAAAACGCCTGGGAGCTCCCGCGATGGACCGACTTTCGTGGCCAGATCGGGCGATTAATCCGCACCCGAAAGCTAATTATTTTTATGCCGTGTTCCCCGCCCCGTCTCTTCCGGAAATCGGACGGAAGAGAACGTAACCTGCCACCCGGGCCTTTTTCGTTGCCGGAAAGAAAGGGCCCGGAACGCGATAATTACGCCAGCGTGGGGGCGGTAAATACGGACCGTCCCCGTATATAGCGAATACTACAGGATGTTAATGAGGGTGATTGGTTGCAGATGGTAACCAGGACAAAGAAGGTGTTCGTCGGAGGATTATCCGCTCCCACTACGCTCGACGACGTCAAGAACTACTTCCAACAGTTCGGCCGGGTGAGTAAGGCTTTTCCATCTTTAACTAGCCTTAAGGCGTTACCTTCGAAAGTGGTCGGCCCAATCTCGGCCAGTTGTCCGAGATTGGGCCGACCACTTTTGTCCCGGTCTTCGGCCACCCACCCCCGCGCCAGACTCCAAAGGCCGGATTAGGCGCGCCCTATCCCGTTTTCGGACGTTGGCCTCCGTCCGTCCTTTACTCGTTTTCATCGTCGTCCCCCCCACCCGGTGTTTTCGGGGGGAGAAACACTTAAGCTTGGTAAGAGGGAATTGTCTGCTACGGGACGATCGGTGGGCGTAAAATATTTAAAAGACCGACGGCGCGAGCGGAAAACGTATTTATAATAATTTATAGAGGAGGGGGAGGCGTTTTTGTCTTCTCGTCCGCTTCCGTCGGCGCTTAATACATCACCGTCCTATGATTTATGTAAAGTCGAACGGGAGGCGAATTCTTGTGTAAAAAAGTGGAGTTACGACGGACTCTTCTCCGTCCGGGATAAAGAATGCCGTCGGGGAAACAAACGGATAAAATTTAAGTATGAATGCGCCGCCTGCCCGGGTTTTAAACGTTGCCGAGCGATTTCTGTTTCTTGCCGCGTTACCCAGTCCATCAGTTATTAGTGACACGTAATTCTCCCCCGAGTGGCGCGCGCGGGCCCGACTCCGCTGCCGGCCAAGTAACGTATCGATTTTCTCCGCGCTACTTCCTTTCTCGCATTTATAAATCTTAAACTCGGACCGTTACGTCGGCCGCCGGCTTGGGGGACGTATAATTCCCGCCGTACAACAGAAACTAAATCCGTTACCGTTCCCTCCCGGGGAATTTATAATTGGCCCGTTTTTTAAAACGCTGGAAATTCCTACGGTTAAATCGGATCGCCCGTGTCTTTTCGGTCCGTAAAAGTCGCCCCGTCACCGCCCCTCTTCCCCTTTCGCTTGTATTCCATCTGTATTTCTACCAATGAGTCGAACGAAGCATTTCGAGGAGAGGGTCACGGGAACCGGAATTAAAGTTATCCGTTTTTTTAGAACAGGAGGTTTCTTGGTCCGTTTAATCGGACAACCCCTCCGCTTCTGCCTCGTCTTTCTTCCGGGTTGGAACGGAAAGCGAAGAAGTCGCGAGAAATCGGGAGTACTTCGGAATTAGTTGTTTCTACACCTGCTAGGATCTTTCTTTTCTCCTCCCCTCGACTTTTTTTTTAGAAAACCGGCAGAAAACCAATTAGAGAAGAGAAAAGACGTCGAAGGGGGTAAGAGTGCTACAAAAATGTCACCATCCATCTCACTTAGGGTGACGGGCAGTAAACATTAGGAAAAGTGTTGAATGGCGTACATTTGGAAGTTCTCCAGATGGACATCAATAATTACGCAGTTTTCGGATCCACTCTCCCAATAACCCGACTCATCATTCACTCGGTCGGAGGAAAGACGGCAAATTTATTCTACAATCATATCGTACTTTTTTCCTTTCTCTTACTGTATCTCTCTCTCTCCAATCCGGAACCCGGGCAGTACGGGCACCGACGGCCAAAGACCAGTTTTAAAGAGATTTTCGGGACCCTTCGTCTTCCCCACCACTCGCCATCACGTGACGTCCTCTTCCCCTTTTTCCCCGCTCTTTCCTTCCCTTTCGTCCGCTACCTTTCCGATACGTACCCCCCGCCGTCTACCAATAATGGCCAACTTTTCCCCCGTTTTCCTCTCTTCCCTCCGCCTTTTCCCCTTCGTCACTTCCCCGATTTTATTTAAAAGACGAAAATCAGCGGTTAGAAGATTACAAAATACGGTTTTAAAACGTTTTCCTTCCTTCAATTAACCGACCTTGGCTTTATTTACTTTCTGTTTGCCGCAAACGGACTGTCCCCTCTCCCACAATTATCCCCCTGGCCGTAAACGAAATTCGCCACCGGCGTAGCCAGGTAGAAGAAAGCTCTGGGTGTATTTTTTGCCTGGCGCCGGGGGGGGGGTTGCGGGTTAAGCTCGACGTCTGCCGGGATGATCGACGTCCCCTCGGAGGTGGGAGGTGTCGACCTTTCCGGAGGACGGCGAGATGGCGATAACGAATTGTTGTCGCGACGTTGTATTTTCTATAGATAATTCGATAAAGGACTTTAGTAAGATTTATAATCATCTTTTTCTCGTTTTTTCGTCGTACGCCATTTAAGACGTCGCTTTGTTCCTTTTTCTCGTCGACATTTTCCTAAGTGGAATCGTAAAGTTGCGCGTGAGTACGCGACTCAAAGTGTCTTTGCAGTCGTTAGGTACGACCAAGTCCGTCGAGTGTTCCTTTAGCGGGCCCACGCCCCGTTTGGGCGTTACTAAAGGCCGCTTTTTCTTCCGTTAGATGGGTGGACAATAGAAGGGAGCACCTTCGATAGAAAAGTAACGGCCGCGGTTTTATGGTCTATAAACTATCAATGAAGATAATATTGCGGCGGTCGGGCTAGAAAACTCCTTTGTCTGCGGTAGAAAGAGATTTTCTCGCTCTAACCCATAACGGTGGTTTCGTCCCTACCTTTACGTAAATTAGGTCTGAAGGTTTATCTTATCGGGCGTTGCAATTAGTCCAAGTTTTCGTCGTTTTCGCCCGGTGGGTAAAAGGCACTTCCGGTTCTTCCGTTCTGGGTTTCGACCTGGGCAAAAGGCAGAAATTACCGGCCGATGGGAGGGAGGGTCGACCTCCCCCCCACGCCGCCAAGGTTTCTCGACTAGGAACCGCACATCGTCCGTCCGTTAGAGGGCGACGATAATTCCCGGTATCCATGGAAACCAGGTGTGCGGAAAGGTTGGGGCGGCGGAGGAATCAGCCACTGGCCTTCCGATAAGAACCGGCTTTGGACGGAGACGAAGAGGGACTAATTGGGTGGAAGCGCGGTTGATAATCGCTTTATTTAGACGAATAAACGGACTGGCGGACCGGAATTTTTCCGCCGGAAAAGAAGAAATGCCAGCTGATTAACTGCCGCTCTTCCGTAACTAGCGCGTTAAATTTCCTCCGAAAAGAAGCGCCGGGCGTTGGGCCCAGGGGAGGACTTTCTCGGACCGAGACGGGGCAATTTTATTAATCGCCGTCGTCGGTATTCCTTCTTTCGAACGCCATTCGACGCCATTAACCCAGACGTCCCCGTCGTAAATCACGGGAAATCTGGAATTTTTCTCCTCTTTCCGTTTCCCTTCGCCACTGTCCCACTCAAACTGGAAATTCGTTTCTCCTTTAGGATTTCCTTCCCCCTTCCTCCCCGTCACTCCGGGGAAAACTCGGCCGGTCCGAAACCCAGTCGTTTCGGCCACACCGAAGACGATTTTCGTCCGCGCATCTCGGCTCCCCCCCGCCCTTAATCGATATTCTTTAATTTCCGGCGCCGAGAAAGCGCTCTCTGTCGGCCGTCGGAATCGACCGTTCCGTCCGCGAAAATCTCTCCCCCGGGGCCACCGGGACCGGCGCCCTCCTTTCTCTACCGCGGGAGCACCGTTCGGGCGGCGCCGCGGAGGGGTCGACCCGGGCGGAGAGGTACGAGACGTCGACCGGAAGCCGGTTTGCGTTTTAATCCGGCGGACGGCGGGCGCCTGCGCCGGAAATAGGTCGACCACTCGCCGGGGGAGAGAGGGAAGATTTTCGTCCCGGGTGCGCGCGCCGAAAGCGAGGAGAGGCGAGTCGACGGTAAATCGATCGAAAGAAGTAAATCCGAAAATTGAAGGAGGACGACGTCGTCGTCTTCGCCCGTTTCGTCGGTCTCGACCCCGCAAGGGTCGTAAAAGTAGGAGGAAACCTCGTCCGTCCCGCCGTCCTCTTTCCTTACTGCCCTGTCGAGAATTGTCTCCGACGATTAAAGAAATAATCCCGGCCTGGGCCGCACTCCTTTCGCCCACCTTCCGAAGTTTACGGAGAAGATTCTCCACTTCTTTCCCCTCCGTTCGCTCCCCAATTTGCAAAAAGCGCTCCGTTCGAAAGAACGCGCCGGGGAATTTTCCGGTTCCCCCGTCGGTCTGGGAAACTACGGACGATGGCACGCGCTCCTCCGACGTAATCGGCCCATCGATTTCCGGAGAGGAGAAAAGAAATCGGTTTCGAAGGTACTCGATCCCTGTCCACCCCGCCGATCTTCGGCCCGGCCCGAGAGAAATCCGGTCCGAAAGGCGGGCGCGAAGCGAATGTAACGCCCCAGAACGGGAGGTTTAGGACGAATACAATTGGGGAAAGGCGGAAGCTGCCGAGGAAAAGTCTTCCCGGCCGGACGGAGAGGAAGCGAACCAGGGGGCGACGTGAAACCGTCACCTCCGATACTTAAACCGTCTTTCCCCGGGCGGCCGTCGGACTAGGCCAAACGTATCCGACAGGGGCCGAAATAACCCGGACGGGAAGAAGTACGAATCTCTTCTCTTCCCGGTCGTTTTAATTTACCGGTGGAGGTAGCCGTTCTCCGACCGATAACTCGGTTTCGGTACGGAAGGACTTTTCGGCGAGTCCTACTCTAATACCGTTTTTTTTTGCCGCCGAACGTAAAGTACGGAAATCCCCCGGACGTATTTACTTTAACCCCCGACGTTTTGCACCTCTCGGAGACACCTTCCGCCTTGCCGCGGAGTCGAATGACCCATTTCTGTCTTCGGTCTATAAATAGCCCGGTTCTAAAGACGCTTCCCGTCGGCTCTCCCCTCTCCGGAAGCGCGTCGTCTGCGGCCTCTCCCCGAGAAACCCAGACGGAATCGGTTCGGCGCGCCCACTTTATCCATTATTCTTCCACCCCGCAACGAATTTTTCCCTCCGGTGGCGTCGGTGGGCTGGAAAATTTCTTTACGTAACAACTGGGGGACGTGTTCTTTCGCCGTCTTATTCCTACGGTTTGACTTCCCCCGAGAGTTAAGCCCGCGGCCCGCTCGTTTTATACTTTTTGCTCTGCCGTTTCGGCCCGTCCGATCGAGGTGAAAGGGGAATGGGCCGCGCCCGGTTTCGCTCCCTCTGTTTCGTTTCCGCCCTGAGAAGTGGCGGGGTGTTTTAC